GGAGGAGGTGGAGAAAGGGTGTGGGAGGATGAATGTAGTGCAATTACTGTGTACACATGTATGTAGATGGAAAAATGAAACCTGTTGAAACTATTCCAGAATTGCAGGTGGTGGTGGTGGTGGTGAAAAAGGAGAATGGGGGAAGGAGTGAATTCAAGTATGATACATTTGATATATTGTAAGAACTTTTGTAAATGCCACAATGTAACCCCCCAGCGCAACAATAAAAAACTAAATATCCACAAATTAACCATGATAAAAACAAATTACATACACAAATGCTGTTTTGAGTAGGTATTTTTTCTCCATTCTCTGCCTGAGTCTTTCTGTCCATTAGGTAACTGTCTAGTTGGATACCCAGCTCTGGAATGGTGTCTGTATACTGCCTTCCACTCTTTTCCAGTGCAGGTGTTGGGGAAGAATTTAGATTTCTGGATATTATATCCAGCGAATGGTTCTGGACTTCAGGATCTCATTTGCCAGTCTTATACCATCCCTCCTTCACTTGTAGCCTGCCCCTCTTCCAGATCCCTGACTACTTACAAACTATTATTATTTTTATTATTAATTTTGTAGTCCTCACTTTATTTTTGTTTTTAATTTATTATTGTTGCTCTGGGGGTACATAAATTGGCATTTATGTTTGCTTAAGCTAGCTATACAGGGAGTTTTCTTGTGACATTTCCATGTATATATGTATTATTACCTGAATTGATTTCCCTGCCTCTTTTTCTCCTTTCTACCTTAATCCCTTTCTTATAGTGATTTCCACAGGCTTAAAAATTCTATATTCATTCTTGTATAGAAAGTATATCAACCATATTCACTTCATTAGCTTCCTTCTTTTACCCTCCCTCTTCTGTTAGTGACATCCCCTTAAGTGTGACCTGTTTTTCATAATGTTGCTTATATTAGTATTAGGTCTATGTTTCACATATGAGAGAAAACATGTGACCTTTCTGAACCTGGTTAACTTCACTTAAGATGATGCTCTCCAGTTCCACCCACTTACCTGCAAATGACAAAATTTTATTCTTCTTTAGACAGAATGAAATTCCATTGTATATAAATACCACATTTACTTGATCTGTTCATCAGTAGTGGGGCATCTTGGCTATTTCCATAGCTTAGCTATTGGGGACAATGCTGCAATAAACATGGGTGTGCAGGTGCCTTTATTTTAACCCAACTTACAGGTCAGATATATAGATTGCAAATAATTTCCTTAGGTATAGCTTATCCCTTCACTCTTGTTTCCTTTGATTTACAAAGTTTTTAATTCTGATGTAATCTATTTTGCCTTTCTTGGATTTTGGAATCAAAATTTTAAAAAATCATTGTCCAAACCTTTGATGTGCTACTCTATTCATTTTCTCTTCTAGTTTTGTATCTTTATGAAGTTTGTTACTGGATCAGTTCTCTAGATCAGCAATATAATTAAAAAAACTAAAATAGAACCATCATATGATCCAGCTTCTGGGTTTATATACTGAGGACTCAAAGATGACATACAGTACTGATACTCACATACCCTTATTTATTATACCATTACTCACAAGTGCCAAGTCACAAAATCATCCTGGAGCCCATCAATGGGTGAATGGATAAAGAAATGTATTATTGACATATATATAAATGGAGTAATATTCTAACACCAATTAGGACAAACTCATGCTATTTTCAAGAAAATGGATGAAGCTGGAGATCATCATGTTAAGCAAAGTAACCAGATGCAGAAAGACAAGCATTGCATCTTTACTGTCACATTTGGAATCTAAAAAAGAAAAGAAAAGACAGGATGGAACTATTTGGAAATAGGAAGGGGACCACAGGGAGACAAGGGTGGAAATATGTGAATAGTGGGTCCTCGCATAAGATCAAAGAACCCTATACACATGTGTGAAAATATCATAATGAAACCTATTATTTCATGCAGATAATACACATTAATAAAAATAGCCAATACTGATTCTTGTATATTGATTTTTGTATGCTGCTGCCTTTCAAATACTGTGTACCCGTCTGAGTCTTCTTGTGGAATCTTTAGAGTATTTTAAGTCATATCTTTTGCTAACAAGGATAATTTGATTTCTTCCTTTACTGTTTGTATCTCCTTTGTTTCATTCTCTTGCTTTATTACTATAAGTTTTAAATACTATATTGAAAAAATTTTCCCCTTTCAGTATAATGATGGTTGTAGGTCTGTCATACCTAACCTTTATTGTGTTGAGTTATAATCATTCTAGTCATAGTTTGTTCAGGGATTTTACCATGAAGAATATTGGATTTTGTCAAAGGCTTTTTCTGCACCCATTGAGATGATTATGTGTTCTTGTCCTTGATTCTATTTATATACTATATTATGTTTATCAATTTGTTCATGTTGAACCACACTTACATTCTTGATGGTACACTTGCATTCTTGGTGCAACTTGAATCCAAATTGAGATGTATAATCTTTATTTTGCAATATTAAATTTGGTTTGCAAGGATTTCACTGATGATTTTTGCATCTATGTTCATCAAGGAATTTGGTTATAGTTTTCTTTTTTGGTTGTGTTTTTATCTGGTTTGCTGTCCATGTAATGCTGATGTGAAAGTTTTCTACAGTAAAAATTGTAAAACATTGATGAAAGAAACTGAAGATGGTACAAAAATATTGAAAGACATCCAAGTTCACTTACTAAAAGAACCATTATTATTAAAGTGTCCATAGTACTAAAAGCAATTTAGATTCAACACAATCAATACCTAAATACCAATGACATTCTTCCCAGAACTAAGAAAGCAATACTGAAGCATACATGAACCTATGATAACCTCAAATGGCCAAAACCATCTTGAGCAAAAAGAATAAAGCAAGAGGCATTAAGCTACTTGACTTCAAAACATACCATAAATTTGTAGTAACCCAAAATAGCATGGTGTTGGCATGAAAACAGACACAACAGCCAATGGAACATAACAGAGAACATGGAAGTAGCTTCATGCATCTACAGACAACTGATTTTTGATAAAGATGCTAAGAACATACATTGAGAAAGGACAGTATTTTCAATAAGTGGTGCTGGAAAAATTGGATATTCACATGTAGAAAGAAGAAACTATACCTCTATTTCTTGCTGGTTAAAAAATAAACTCAAAATGGGTTAAAGACTTAAATGTAAGACTGTGGAGCTACTACTATAGGAAAATGTAGGGGAAAATTATTCAGAACATTGAAATGGGCAAGACATTTTGCACAGGACCCTGAGAGCACAGGAAATAAAAACAAAAGTAAGCAAGCAGGTTTACATCAAACTAAAAGTTTCTTCATAGTAAGCAATCAACAGGATGAGGAGATGACATAGAGAATGGGAGAAATATTTACAAAGTATATGTCAGATAAGATGTTGATATATAAAATATTTAAGTGACTTCATAAATTCAGTAGCAAAACTCCTAAATTGAAAAATGGACAATATGCTTAAATAGACATTTGTCAAAAGAATACACATGAATGGGCAACAGGAACATGAAAAAATGCTTTATATTATGATCCTCCAGGAATTTTAGTTAAAGCCACAATAAGATGCCAACTCACCTGGGTACGAATGGTTATGTTCAAATAGTCTAAGGACCAGAAGTGCTAACAAGGCTGGGGAGAAGTAGGAACCCTTGTACACTGTTGTTGGGAATGTAAATTCATGCAACCATTATGAAAAATAAGAGGTTCCTGAAAAATTAAAGATATGGCTCCCATGTGAGCTAGAAATCCCATTACTAGGTATATATCTAAAGGATATGCAATCACTGTGTGGAAGAGTCATTTTAGAGTTGAAAACAGTGATATTGCAAGTTCATAGCCAGCCTTGGCTACATAGTGAGTTCAAGGCTAGTCTTATCTACTGAGGTATAGTAAGACCAATTTCAGAACAAACAAAACAAGACAGAGGAGAGAGGAAAGATGGAGAGAGAGAGGAAGAGAGAGAGAGAGAGAGAGAGAGAGAGAGAGAGAGAGAGAGAGAGAGAGAGAGAAAGGAAAATAGAGAGAGAGAGAGAGAAAGGAAAAGAGAGAGAGAGAGCAAGAAAGGAAAAGAGAGAGATATCTGAAATTCTATGTTTATTGCAGCATTGACCACAATAGCTAAGAAATGGAAACAATTGGGTGTCCATAAACTGACAAATGGATAAAGAAAATGTAGTCCTTATACAAAGTGGGATATAATTAAGACATAAAAAAAGAAACTCTGTCATCTGAGGCAACATGGATAGAACTGTAGATAATTATGTTAAGTGAACTAAGACAAGCACAGAAGACCAGTATCACATGATCTCAGTGTTATGTGGAATCTAAAAAATTGATCTCATAGAAGTTCAGAGTAGAATGGTGGTTAGCAGAGGCCAGGGAGTGTGGGAAGAGGGAAAGATGGTGGGAGGTTGATCAATGGGTACTAAGATACAATTAAATAAGACCAAGTTCTGGTACACTATTGCATTTTAGGCTGATGATATTGCATTGCACATTTCAGACAGAAGAAAAAATTTTTGTTTTACTTAATTTAATCATTACACACAAATACATGTATAAGACATTGCTTAGTGTACCTTAATATATACAATTTTGTTATTATATATCAGTTTAAAAGTTAATAAAAATGAACAATTTGAAAAGAGACAATTTATAGCTTTGTTGTACATGTCCTTTTATTGTGCTATTTCTTTATATCTCCCAGGAGAGAGTCTGTTTCTGTCCTATACTGCTTGCACCTATGTTTCATTGCTATTGAGTACAGGAACCATTCTGGATTTTTGGCTATGCTGTAATACAGTTTGAAATCAGGGTCTCATGTATGCCAGGCAGGTGCTATACCACTTGAGACATACCTCCAGCCCTTAATGCTGGAGTTATTTCTCAGATAGGGTCTCATGTTTTTATCTGAGGCCAGCCTCAGACCACGATCCTCATACTTACTGCCTGTGTGTAGCTGGGATTACATGTGTACACAGCCACACACGGCTTACTGCGATAGGTTTGACTTTTTGCTCAGGACGTTCTTGAACTGCAACCCTCCCAAGCTCCACCAACTGAATAGCTAGGGTTACAGGTGTGAGCCACTGTGCCTGGCCTAGAATTAATTTTAATGACTTTTTAGGTAGATTTTTCTGGTATACAGGACGGTAATTTAATTTAAATATCAGTATCCTATCTTGTCATTGATAATTATGTTGTATTATGCCACTGAGATTGCAGAGTTTGTCTATTACAAGAACTGAGGTTACCTTAGCAAGTGCATGCAGAATAATAAAATGTTTTACGACAATATTTAATGGAAAAGACACAATGAAAAACTGTATGGACCATAATTCATTTCAGTGAATATATCTATATACATGGAGAAGCAGTTGCTAAGGTAAGGGGCAGGAGGTGACATCATAAATCAAGATATGGAATAAAGAACAAAGAGAACACTTGTATGGAACGTAGAGTTCATGGTTGCTTGTATTGAGATTGATGGCCCACAGAGCCTCAAATGGAGACATCCACTAGGCAGATGAGAAGAGTGGGGAGCTCTGGAGGAAGGTCAGCACTTCCTATGGAGATGTGGGGATCGGCACAGTACATGAGGTCAAAGAGATGAGTTTGGATGGCATCACTTAGAGGGTAAAAATGTCCAAGGTTGGAAACCTAATCCATTCCACAATGATGCTAGGAGTTTAAAAGAATGTCTACTGCCATTCTGAAGTGGGAGAAAAATTACAGGAACTATGGAATCAGATAGTTTGCAGTCTGGTATAGGCTCAAAATTGATCCACCATGTGAAAAGGGAAATCACTAGACCTCGTATCTTTTAGTCTGTACAATAGTAATTTTATCTTCTCCACTTAGTTGGAATTTACATGAGAGTACAGAACGACATATATATATATATAAAAGCAACTTTTGCAAAGTCAAAATGCCATACAAAGAGACATGTTTAAAAACTGAAATTTTTCTTTGTCTGTAGTTCTTCCCTTGGTCTTGGAGAAATAAATTCTAGGGTCTCTGATTATTAGTTGCCTCCGGGTAAAGACAAGAATTGTAAAAATTATGCTATTTTATAAGAGTTAGAAAAAGTTGTTTAGGGTTAGCACAGGTCAGAAAAGACAAAAATATGAAAATAAAAGAGGATATGGAAAAGTTAAGCGAGAGCACACAAGGGAGGAGTGAGGATAGGTAAGACACCTAAAAAATTAGCTAGCATTTGTTGCCCTTAACGCAGAGAAACTAAAGCAGATACCTTAAAAGCAACTGAGGCCAATAGGAAAAGGGGACCAGGAACTAGAGAAAAGGTTAGATCAAAAAGAATTAACCTAGAAGGTAACACCCACGCACAGGAAATCAATGTGAGTCAATGCCCTGTGTAGCTATCTTTATCTCAACCAGCAAAAACCCTTGTTCCTTCCTATTATTGCTTATACTCTCTCTACAACAAAATTAGAAATAAGGGCAAAATAGTTTCTGCTGGGTATTGAGGGGGTGGCGGGGAGAGGGAGGGGACTGAGTGGGTGGTAAGGGAGGGGGTGGGGGCAGGGGGAGAAATGACCCAAGTCTTGTATGCACATATGAATAATAAAATTAAAAAAAAAGAAAAAAAAAGAAAAGTTAAAAGATAAAATGATGGAAAATTTCTACAGAAAGAACTTGTAGGAGACATTAAGAAGGAGGCTGGGAAGTTGAGATATTTGGATGTAATTGACTAAATTTAAGATTAGGCATTAAAAATGATGCCACAGTTCAAGTAGAATTCATGATAAAAATGATAAGATTCTGGGATAATTTAAGACTATAGGAATGGAGATCACATAAAACATTAGGTCTTGTTGCTATGCTTCTCCTGGGCAAGAGAGAGATGAAGGCATAGCAGTTCCCAAAATCTTTTCCCTTCATCAAACTACTCAGCTAAACTTCCTCTCTTTTACATATTGAATAACTGTGTAGCATACCCTTTTAACAGAAGCTTCTGTGGTAAGCAAGAAATGTGGAATAGTATTCCTATATGAATATCTATGCAATTCCTAGATAAAATTATGTTAAATATCCCAAGTGTTACCAAAATAGACAGGCATGATTTTTATTCATCCATATGATTCTTCCCATGGCTCCCCTCATGTCTCTGTTCCTCAGGCTGTAGATGAAGGGATTCAGCATGGGAGTCACTGCTGTGTACATCATAGCCATGACAGTCTCCTTCACAGTAGAGTTATTAGCTGATGGACATAAGTAGAGACCAATAATTGTTCCATAGAACATTGAAACCACAGACAAGTGGGAGCCACAGGTGGAAAAGGCCTTATGGATACCTTGAGTGGCAGGGACCTTGAGAACTGAAGATATAATTTGTGCATAAGACATGAAAATGAGTATGAATGGAATGACAATGATAAGCCCTCCCATGATAAATATCACTAACTCATTAATATGAGTGTCAGAGCATGCCAGCTTTAGCAGAGGAGATATATCACAGTAAAAGTGGGGAATCACATTGTCCTCACAGAAGGACAATCTGGCCATGAGAAGGATGTGCAAAAGGGCATGAAACGTGGTCAGCACCCAGGACAGCACCACCAACCACACACAGAGTTCGGGGCTCATGATGCTGGTGTAGTGCAGGGGGAAACAGATGGCCACATAGCGGTCATAGGCCATGGCCACAAGGAGGAAGCTCTCAAGGTCCCCAAAAAGCATGAAGAAATACATTTGTGTCAGGCATTCTGCATAGGGGATGGAGGGTACTTGTCTCTTCATATTCTGTAACATTTTAGGAATGGTCACAGAGGAAAAGCAGAGGTCAGAGAAGGACAAGTTGCTGAGAAACAAATACATGGGTGTGTGGAGATAGGAGTCCAGTAGAATGAGGACAATGATGAGGAGGTTCCCCAGGATGGTGGTAAGGTACATGGCTAGGAACAGGGCATAGTACAAGTGCTGGTGCTCTGGTGGAATGGGCAGGCCCAAGAGGAGGAATTCCAAGATGGTAGTTTTGTTCCTGTCTGTCATGCTTTTTCAGCAATATCTTTAAGAGAAAATAATATCGTCCTTTAAAGATCCAAATAAAAATGAATGTGTTTCTATGTTCTTTGTCTACTATGCATTGGAGAACAATTAATCTAACCCTCTTCACAATAATTGTAATCTCTATACAATAAATGTTTTTAATCTTTAAAAATAATTAATACTTTTTTCTTAACTTCTTTTAAATATGTATTAATATTGGATTGTTTTCTAAAAACTTTTATGTATTTCCTTCAGAGGCAGAAAATACATTGATTTTTCTTTATCTGCCTGAATGGTCATTCTAGGAAGTGTAATTGGTTCCCGCTCTCCCAGTATCTTATATCTTGACATTCCTCAAGGTTTTTTCTAATCTTTCTAATCATATAACTCTATGTATGCTCCAAGAAAAACTCATTTACTCCAATGAATTAAAATACCATTAAAAGGATGACTGACTGGAGAGGGGATCAGTGGGAGGTGGGAGTGGGACAGGAGATGTTACTAAGGGGTGAATAAGATTGAAGTACATACATATATGAAGATAGCATGAGGAAACCCTCCAAACACTGCTTGAAAAAGGAGGGAGGAGGGAAGGAACTAAGTGAATAAAATAGAGAGGGTGAACTTGTTCAAAGTACACTATATACATTTGTGGCATTATCACAATGAAACCCCATTGTACTATTAACATTTGCTAATAAAAACAGTTAAAAAAGGCAAATATCTCTCTAATCACAGAACTGTGAATCACATGTCTTAATATTTATCTTCCCTTGGGTGTATTACAGGCACCTTTAGGTCAAGAGTTCGCAAATGAAACTCCACCATTTTTACTGTTTCATATTTCAGTAAGAGGAATTCAAGGTCATAACAAAAATCTGAATTTTATTTCATTCATGATTACTTTTATCGTCACCATCAATCTATCAAATTCTTTAGATTCTCTACTTAATTTTCCTGTTCTTTAATCATTCCTCCCTACAAGACCATATTGATGACATATCATCTCTCCTGGACTCCTGATACACTCTCAACTCATGTTTTTGTTTCCTTGCCTCAGTATCCTTCTCCTTTGATATGCTTCGTTCTCACTGAGGCATTCTAAGATGGAAATCTGATCATCTGTTTTCTCATAAGCACTTCAGGGAATTATCATTGCTCTTAAGATAAAAGCAAAGTTCCTTTTGAAAACACAAATGATGTTTCATTACCTGACCTGTGCCTACCTCTGTGGTTTCATATGGCTCCACAGTGACATTTGCATTCCAGTCTGCAGTAAAGCTGGTTTGAAAGCCACAATTTCTAGTCTCCAGCATTTCAAATTTCTGTCCCTCTTGCTTATCACTTTCTCCTCTTTGAGCCTTCTTCACCTCTTACCTAATTATCTTTGAGAGCTATGGCATGTCACTTGCTCAGCTAAGGCTTCCCAAAGCATCCTGTATGTGCCATAATACTCAATGCCTCTGATCACTGGTGTATAACTGACTCCCCACCAGAAAGTAACTCCATGCAGGAATGGTCACTTCTGTCTTCATGATTGCATCAGGGCCATTACCTGGCGTGGTACGTCCTTGTGGTCAGTGTTTCATACAACGTTTTCTTGTATTCAGGCTGAGACAGATCCTCTAATTTAAAAGCAGAAAACTCTCATTAAATTAGAATAGCTACTCCTCCTAAATCTTCACAGAACATAAATTCACTACACTCAAAACATTTATCACTAAATTTTGACACTGTATGATAAATTTCACAAATGTAATTGTTTTTATGAAAAATATTAGGGTCTATCAGATGATTACTCTCAGTAATACTGATGACTCTGAATAAAGTGCTTTTGCTTCAATATTTGTGACCTCATGGATATTGATGTGGGAAATATAAATAAGATGAGTACTTCAAGATATTTTCTGGGGGTAGGCACCAGGAAAGTGTGAATGAGGGTGAATATGGTGGATGTATTTTATACTTATATATGAAAATAGAAGCATGAAACCTTTTGAAATTGTCCTAAGAAGGGGAGAAGCAGAGGGAGAATGATGGAAGAGGTAAATCTAACTAAGATGTATTTTAAACACAGTTGTAAATATCACAGTATATCCTCCTGTAAAGCTGTCATATTTAATACATTTTAAAAAGATGAGTATTTCATAAGGTAAGGGAAAACAAAAACTAAATCATATGCATATGTGTAAATATCACAATGAAAACCCTTTTTACAATTAATATATGTTAATAAAAAGCAAATTTTTTCAAATCCTCACTTGAGTTCTTACTCAGATATCCACATGATATATGATGGCTAATTAAATTTGTAAACTGGAGTATGTTCAGATTATAGTTTTGTTCAAATACTCATTCCAGATGTTTCTATGAGGACATTTTGCGATGGCAATAACATTACAATCCATAGATTTAAATAAAGTATGCTACCTTTCATAATGTGATGAACCTAGCATAACTAGCTGAAGGATTTAAGAGAAAAGATTGCAGTCTCTTAAAGTAAGAGAATTCTGCATGCAGATGGCCTTTGGACTCAAGACTACAATGTACAGTCCTCCAAGTGACTTCAGTTTCCTGGTTGTCCCTGCAGGTATCAGATTTATCAATCCCCATATCATGTGGGCTACCTACTTAAAATCAATAACACACACGCACACACACATCAATCTGTTTTCTTCTGACAATCCTAACTAATATACATCTGTGTATCTCAAAATCTGTCAAAGAAAGCAGATGAGAAGGACTGAGACATCCACGATCTTTCACTAAAACAACATAACTGATTCAGACTGTTGGGCTCTTCACCCCACTGATGGTGTTTAATGCAACCCAATGAATGGTTTATACACATGGTTATTATGTGTTGGCATTATAGAGGGAAGAAACACATAAGGAAACAATGAACCTTGTGTCTCAGAATTCTGCTTCCCTTATGAATAAGTGGGACCCACGTCTTGGGTAGAACTGTGTGTAGGTATCACAATCAGAGATGTCACCTGTACGTGTTGCTGCTAGTGACCCAATGAGCTTCACATCTCTTTCAGTCATTAATCTGGGCAGCTTGGATAACACATAAGAATACCTAGTGAAGTGCAAGTCACCTGGGATTCTGTGAAAACACTGATTCTAGCTCTGAACCTCAGATTTTGCATTTTAAATGAAAAACAAGTGGATGTCACATGACTCTGTGAGTAGCAAGTACATACGTTTCTACTAAAGATAGGTTATGGTGCCCAGTCAGATATCAGATTATCTGATAAGAGACTTGCTCAATATTTATTAAAACTCCACAGGTGAAGGTGAAATAAAAGAAGGCTTAATGTTACTGTGTTGAATCCTACCTCACAGAGTTGTTATTATTTTGAAATAATAGGTTATTGGTAGAATATATTGCATAGTCAATAATAGTAATTAATCCTATCTTTAATAGATTATAAATGCTGATCATTAGTCAAAATACTTCTGCAGTGTGGCAAAGTCTTGGAAGTAGACAGTTGTGAAGAGGAAATTATCATACCTGGAAAATTTGGCTGCAGTGTAGGAAATTAAGATCCTCATATTGGAAGGACAGTAAGGCACCAGCTAGTTCTTTCCCCTGTCACTCACCCAGGATGCCTGAGTATGACTTCTGGACTCTGACCAAATATCCAGCTCCCCTTAATTCATTATAGGTATGGGAAGTAACAGCCTCTGTACATTCACCTATTTCTATACCATCCCTGCTCATGACTCCCATTCTAGCCAATTCTGAGCTTAAGAGGCTCAGCATCCCAGAGGAATCTAATCCTTGAGTATCTAATTAAAGAAAAATAATTACCCAGACCCTCTCTAGGACAATTTTCTCAGTGTCCTGTAGTGGTGACTGATTATAATAACTGATCACACCTTACTATACTTTGGGAGGAAGGCCAAGGGTCAAGGCTTATGGCTGGAGCCTTAATCATTGACTCTTTAGAGGATGGACAGGAGTCCTATACATATAGAGCCTACTTTTTCATGGGCTAAGAAGGGTGGTTGGAAAATCCCAATAAATAACTGGGCACCATATTGGATGATTTACTATATATTTTAAGAATATAAAAATGTATTCAAGTAGCCATCAGAGGTTTCAAAGCAGAATTCTACCATGAATTGGAAAGATTCCCTAGTGACAATCTCTCAATACATGACTTCCTGAAATAGGCCATAGATAAACATGCTGTTAACCAGGATCAGACTTTCTAAGAATCTACTTTCCATATGTGCTTATATATGTAAAGGACAGGAATAAGAGAAAATGTGAACCACCCCCCCAAGATCATATTCAATTCTTCCTCGAATTGAGATAGAAAGGAGCCCAGATTTGCACCACATTCAGTTACTTTTGCTCCCTTATCTAGGAAAACTACAGTAGCACCCATCACCACCATCTGTATTTATGTGAGATTACTCTTTAAGTCAGTTCTTTGTCCTTTCCATTGACTCCAGGCTGTAGATGACATTTGTAATTCCTTCTTTCAGTACCTGTTCATGCACTTGGCAATTATCACCTTGATGAGGTTCTGTTTCTAGTGACATAAGGCAAACTATCATTCCTAAGGAAATCTGCATCCACATTGGTCATGCCCTTATTGTATTGTTATAGATTATATTAACATTTATTTTTGGGCATGGAAATATTAGAGGTGGCTAAGTAATTACCCAGGATTTCAAACATTGTCTTACAGACTATACTTGTGTAGGGAAACCAAGTTTTCCCTTGGCAATCAATATCAATCCCTCCCAGTAGAATGAAACTTTTGCTCTTTTCTATATTGGTTTATGTAATAATGAATAAAATTGACTGGTAGAAGGCTTTACTTACAACTGAATAAAATTGGTATTACATCCATGACATAATATATCCCTTACAACTGTAGCATTCACCAAAATAAAGAATGCAGTTATATAGTTTTTGCATATTCACAGATGATGTGCAAGCATCCCATAATTTTTTATTTTTACAACTTTAATGTGTTTCATTA